TTTTAGTTTGTTCCACGGTCAGAAGGAGTTTAAAAGATAGGGCTGAACTTTCAAGTTTTTATTTTCTTGTTGATTTTTACAATCAGATTTGGAAGACATGACGTTCTCTGATGAATAGCTGGCGGGAAATGAGTAAATATAAATCGATAAGTTGTCGTTCGACGAAGAAAAATTCCATTCGAACATACTTGAGAAGAATTTTGGAATGTTGGAAAGTTTAATGCGTGCGTTAGATTCTTCTTATTATTAGATAAAGATATGAGACTTTATGTAAAAAAATTACTAAACAATTTCGTACGAAAGAACAAATTCTCGTCTTGAAATGTCAAAATATGATTTTTATATTCAATTATTTAATTTACGAAATATAAAAATCGTTGTTTTATATTTAATTTATGTACATAAAATTTTATATGTGCAGAAAATGTTTTAACTAGAGAAATTTCACAACCAAGTGATTCGTCCAAAACGACGACTAGCACAACTCAGCAAATTATTTTGAGATAAGAAAAAATATTTCTTGCAAAAATTATAAAATTCTTAGATATGAAAAGTTCATATCTTATCTTGAATGTCTACAAAAAGCTTTGCTTTGATATTCGTTTAATTAATTTATGAAAAATAAAATGTATATTTAGTTAAAATTTACATATCAAAATTCTGTACGTGAAGAAAATAGGAAATTTTTTGAATATAAATTTAAGAAATTCTATAACTAAGAGATTCGTTCAAACGACCGATTGTTCGCTTGATTTAGTTAAAATTACAAGATAAGGAGATTATGCGATATTTTCCATAAAATATTTAAAATGTGTAGATGGAAAAAATTCTTGTTTTGAAATTTCTTTAAAAACAGATAATTTTAAATGGTTATCAAAATCCACTATTTTCTTTCTATACTTTCTTTTATAAAATTGCAAAAAGGTAAGAATTAATTCCTTTTTATTTGAACAATATATTCAATTAAATGCAAAATATCCAAATTCTATCTATAAAAAAAGTAAGAAAATACTTCAATATTCTTCAACTTCTTCAATATTCTTAAAATAATTCAAATTCTAGTATATTGGATGCAATTTACCATACTAGTTTATTCAATTTAATAGTTTATCAATTTAATAGTTTTTGTTGTTTTTTCTGTTTCAATAAATTTTAAAATTTGACATAATTTACATCATAGCGCTTTCCGTGTTACTTATATGTATTAAACAATTTGTAAGACAAGCATGTCTTTTTTTTACACTTACAAAAAAATTGTTTCTTATTTTGATTTGAATAACCAGTTTTTCGAATTTTATTTCCCCGTTTTACATTAACGCCTTTTTTGATAATTTGCGCGCTTTGCATACTCAGATTTCCTGTTTAACTATATTAATATAGACTATTCGCTGTATATAGTAATATAATTAAACATGGAATGTAGAATATATTATTACTATGTATTATGTATGATATTCCCTGTATTAACTGTAGAAAAATAATATTTCTATAATTTTTTTAAATGAAAAACACTTAAATTCCACTTAAAATTAAAAAATTCTGCAGGTTAAGTAAACACTAAAACGAATACAAGCCGTCCTTCTTTATGACGGACGTTATAAGCCATAACAGTATGGATACAGTTAATAATACTTCCATAGTTGAATAATTTCCTTATAACCATCGAACAAAGCTTTAGATATTTAATTTCCAATTTTTTAAATTTTTCATTCACAATTTCGAGTTTCCTGAGATTTTTTAAAACTTATTTTATTTTTCTTTATTCATTCATTTTTTCCAAAATATCTTAACTGGAGGAAATGGCTTTCCTTTATATGCAAGAATCATATGGTTTTGGTAGAGATTAGGTGTACGAAAACTTGTGGACAAAAAGAAATTTTACGAAGTGTTTTTATCCGAAATAAATAGACTTCACAATAAACTGTTTCTGCCGACATTACCACAAAGTATGTAATAAAAAATACGTTTATTTTATAGAGTTTGGTACAATATCTTTTCCATTGAAGACAAAATAATTTTTATTTATTGAATTTTTAAATTATTTGAATAAGAAAACATTTTTGAACAGTTAATAACAATATGGACTTTAGAAAAATTAAATTTATGAGATCTTCGCTACTTTTACACTCTCAGACCATATTTTAAAATATAAGAATCCTGCACTTTACGGATGATATTTTAACTTTTTTTACCATCAACATTAAAGTTTTCGAGCAATTTTTACATTCTACCAATCCATCCGTAAATATTTTACTTTACTTTCAATTTGAAATATACATCTAAACTAAGACATAAAGAAGAAACTTTTGTATCTTAAATAAGCTACACAAACTTCCTCCCCCTCCTTCTCAAACTCAGCATTTTCATTCGCCGAAAAAGAATGGTCCTAGAATGATAAATGGGAATTCGAAAACTCAGACTCCGAATACCCGCATTTCATCACTTAGCAAGAGATGTCTCGTATTTTGACAGGCAACCAGAGACACAAGTGCAAACAACTGGAAGCCGCCTGTATTCTTTTCTTAAAGAGGCAAAAATAAATCTGAAAGCTAAGCAACTTTTGCTGATGGCACGTTCTTCTGAATTCTAGAAATTCGACCACCGACGGGGTGTTGAGTTGAGCCGGATAATTTACGATGGCTGGTTGTCCTGGCAGAGCGTGAAGAAAACAAATGGAATAAACGATGAATCACGGATAGCTAATTTGAAAGTAATTAAAACAATTAAGAGCTCGAATACGGATTTTGGCGGGAACAATCGTCGTTTGTACCGTTGCTAAACGTCAAGGTGAAGGCTCGGGCAATTGGCCAAGACTCGTCGCAGCTAAATAGTCTTGGACAAATGTTGTTTATTCTCGAAACTCACAGGATTTTGCTCTGAATACAAGCACCTGTGGTAGACACGATAATGAAGCACTTTAAATGTATAAAAATGAACTTCCTGTAGGCTTAAAAGTGAGACACCACATTTTTACTTTCTCCAATGCGAAGTATAAAAAGTGTATGACCGTCAAAAAATTCAACCTCGAAATTTTGATGAACCGTCTCGGTATAGTTCTTTTTTTTGAGCACGAAAACACAATTTTTGGAATTATATTTGCATATATGGAGGTTTCAGAATCAAAATGAACAAAGTCCATGTGTTTTCCACTTAGCATTAGGACAGTAAGGTTGAAATGTTATATTATTTGTGTAATACTGAGTCAAGTTCAATTTATACCCAATAGAAAGCAAGAACAATTTGAAGTCAATTTTTATTTTAAATGTAGCTCATCAACTTTGAGATATATTTATCAGAAATGAATTTAATGGACTTTGTTCATTTTAACTTTGAGCCTTCCAAATATCAGTCTGTTTGTTTGTTAATACCATAATTCAGAAACGGAATGAGTTAGAAGAATGAAATTCCATATGTTGTCTTTACACAAAATTGTAGATTTGTATCACATTTTGGACGAAACCAATCAAATGGAATTCCATGCGTCTGCTCTTTCGTGTGCACTGAACGTGATAACTCAAAAAATCAGCTAGCTAGGTAGATGTGAAATTTATTATATCTTATTGCAAAATCGTAAGTGTAAAAAACTGTTTTGGGACTTTTAATAGTTGTTTAAAAAGCTTCTAAAACCGTTGTAACCGTTTTTTGAAATTTAATGAATTTAATTACTAACTATAAGCCCTCCCCCGCCTGGGGGGAGATATCAGGAGTACGTGGATGAAAAGTCGCTGGATACACAAGTGGGTTCTCTCTTACCTGGTGGGTATAGTATTGGTGTGGAGTGAGCTACCCCACTTCGAAGACTAAACGTACATCCATCGGAAGGGTTGGGACGAGACCGGTGAGGACTATTAGGAATCCGACGTCAGTATTCGAGCTGTCATGGCGGCCATTCTCCATATGACACCTATCCAAAGCAAGGGGTTATAACTCGGTTTACGGTTACTATAAGCCCTAAAATCAAAACGCTCAGCGGACTCTCCTGGGTAATGAGAAAATCGTTCTACAACCAGCGGGAGTGGTCTCCCCTAATCTTTAACGTATACTTCCCTAAAATGGCGCTGTTTCCCCTCCCCCGCGTGGATAAAAAAATTCGAACCTACTGTAACCCAGAATCCAATGATTGTGAGAAGGTGTTTCATTGTAGATTATAGTGATTATAAAATATTTGGGTAAACAATCAAATTCAAAGAGAAGCGTGCCGATTAAAACGCATCTATCACACACTGCTTCCACTCTTGCCGGATCAAGGACAAAGTGACGTAATTAGCTCATAGGCTTCCACGTGCACAGACATTGCTACCAGTACGCATGCGCATAGAGAATCGGATTGGAAAAATTAATTATGCAATTTGACCGCCTTTTTTTAAACGATTGACACAAAAATGGTTATAAATCTACAATTAAGGTATAAAGGCCACATACCAAATTTCATTTATCTAAGTCATTATCTTAAAGAGTTATTGTGTTCACAAGTTTCCGATTATATAGAGCGACGGACAGTCAACCCTTTGACGGTTTTGGCCCAAACTTTTATACGGACCTACATTCCTAATGATAAAACTGCGTACGAAATTTTATCCATCTAGCTATTCAAGTTTTTGAGTTATAGTGTCCACATGAACGTGGACAGACAGACAGACTACCCGTAGACAGATTTTGTCCAAAATTTGATAGAAACCTACAAATTATGTGTAAAGATCACATAGCAACTTTCATCCCCGTAGCTCTAACAGTTTTCGAGTTATCGTGTTCACAGACAGACACACAGGCATACATAATTCCAAAATTGTGTTTTTAGGATTCAGGGAGGTCTAAAACATGGAGATTCGTCAAAATCTAGAGTTCGAATTTTTTGACGATTACAGTACTTTCTCTTTGTATACTTCGTATACTAGAAAGTCAAAAGATGATCAACCTAAGACAAATTTCATGTACATTTGATCAATACAGACATAACGCCACCCCATGCTCCAGGTGCCTATAACAACATGTGACGATGCAAACAGCACGCGGTTTTCCCAGGTGATCGCCCTCCCAAGGACTGACAGCTCCCGAAGCTGCTTAACTGCGGGGATCAGACGAAAAACAGTGTTTTCAGTATGGTATGGCCGTTGGCGATCAGTTTAGACAGCGAATCATTATTAGAATCGGGTTTCCAACCCTCAACTATTTGATATTAAATCTAGACTTTACCACAAAGCAATTTGACTTCGAGACAGCAACACAGAATAATTTAAAAGGATATTACTATAATTTTAGAATATATTTTATAACAGCACTAAACAGCAGCTAAATAACTAAGTTGTATAACTGTACTATTATTGCAAAACATATCCCATGATTTCTCATTCCATTTATTTCCTAATATTTTTTGTCAAAATAATGAAAAAGAATATTATATCATATTTTATACTGGATAATGTGCCATTAACGATATACTTACTCATGTATATAATGCACTTGATGAAAGGTCTGAAGGCTAATGAAGAAATTCGGCAAATAGTTGACAGTAAAAAGAATCTTTATTAGTTCGTTTAATTGTGTCATCTGTCATTAAAATAATAGAGCTTCCTGACTTTGAAGTTATGCTGTCTTTTATTTATAGAAGTAGACAGTACTAAACAGCAGTTAAATCTGCACAACTGCATTATTATGGCAAAACATATCTCATGATTTCTCGTTCCATTTATTTCCTTGTATCTTTATTTTTCAAAATACTGAAAAAGAATATTATATCATATTTTATGTGGATTATGTGCCATTAACGATATAATTACTCAGGTATATAATGCACTTGGTGAAAGGTCTGAAGGCTAACGAAGACATTCGGCAAATAGTTGACACTAAAAAGTATCTTTATTAGTTCGTTTAATACTGTCATCTGTCATTAAAATAATAGAGCTTCCGGACTTTGACGTTATGCTGTCTTTTATTGATAGAAGAACCATTCAATATTTTATTGTCTAAAGGATTGGTACACGAAAGCGAAGTTTTTGACGAAGTTCTGCCATAAAATCGTCTGAGGCCGTAACAAAAGCATAAATGTTCTAAGAGTGGATATTTTATTAGAAATTCACTTTTATTTTTTTATCTGTTCTGGACACAACAGTTATTGTGGGACAAGTCACGAACTTCGGCTGTCTTTATTTTGGCTGTCAAGAAAGACACAGAAGTTCAAAGGTACCGTAATGGCATATCAACACAGACGTATAATTGTGGGGTCAGATATCAGAAAATTCTCATAAGTGGTTTATGAATACAGAAAAGGAAAAGAAATAAGGAAATGAAATTAACTGGAGCCCTTTGAGGCTATCACTCACCAACATGAATATTGATAGACTTATCGTCTTGTTATTGATATGTTGACCATTTTACTTACACACATCTAATAATCTTAAATCTGAATCATAAATTGAATCCACATCATATCGCGGAAATCGAAAGTAAGGAAATGATCTGTCGGCATCCATCTGTCCATCATCCGGCCATCCATCTGTCGGCATATAACAAAGCATCGTTAATAAACCTTCTTTAGTTAATTCTGTTGTAGGTCCGATTCTAAAATTTATGGGACGGAGAGAAAGAGAGTGGTCCAATTCACACTTTCTGCTACACTGAACAAGACAAGAGTGGCGTGCATCTGTGGAGGACAACCGAAGAAAGTGCAGCAGTGTTTCAGTAAGCAATTAGTTTCCGCAGAAGCAATATAGTTATGTTTTCCTATTTTTTCCCTCGAAAATTTTCAAAGGCAACAAGATTCCGTTTCGTTGCCGCTGGACAGCAAGGGAATAAGGTTAAACGTGATGTGACAGAACTCGTTTCATATTGAATTGCTCTTCACTTCAGTATTTCTGGCTCTCCATTCCATCGTGAGTGTGATGTAAGAAATGCGTGTTTAAAGTAAGCAAGTAATCCATGCTTCATTCCGCCAACTTGCCGCCTTGCTATTGGTTCCGATGAGTTTTATGGTCGTTACGTAATATTTCCTCCTTCAGACCGATAACGTAACTTTTCGGAGCTTGTGTGGAGCATACGCATTTACGTGTAGAGAAGGAAAAAAATTATGAAGTAAAATTTTTTATGGTTTATTACACATTTACCAGCTCACAGATATGCAATATTATTACATATTTTAATATGTAAATATTCTATGGATAATATTGTGCTTATTATATGTACCTAAACTTCGACTGTGTCAGTGGGTTTTAGAACTATCACATGCCACTTCCAGACATCAAACTAAAACGGGAAATAACTTTTCGTTCAAAATCAGAATGGATAAAGGAGTTTTAGGAGTCCTATATTAGACAGCAACACTTGTCAAACGGTTCACTTTCAAAGTTTATAAAATATGATGCCTAACTCAGAAAACCGAAAATTATAGGATGTTAGAGCCTTTCCTCATGTACTGAACAAAACAGAAGATTCCTGTTGAAAGCAAGCTTCCAAAAGCAAAAGCTAACTATTCTTGTTTCCTAGGGGTAAAAAGTAAGTGTAAACATAACTTTATCAAATTAAAAGGATATAATCAGTTTACGCACAGAGGCACTAGCTTCGTGCGTCGAGTCACTGAAGGGCCTCAAAACCTATTCGAAGAATTCGGTATCTTGAGCCTTGTTTATAAAAATTAGATGTTTAATGACAATTTCCACAGCACAGATATTTTACAGAAACACTCACATAACACATATTACATTAATTCTATAACTTTTCTTCTTCGGTGGTAGGCAACGCTCGCTCAGACAAAAATATCGTTGCCACTTTATCTTTATAACCTTTACAAAATAATTTATACCAAACGATTTTTTTTAAAGAATTTCTTTTACGGCCAAACGATATTTCTAAACTAATTTCTTTTATGGTCAAGCGATTTTTTTATCTAATTAATTTCTTTTCTTTAAATATTTTAATAATTCTACCAATATATATATTATTCGTTACAAATATTACAGCCGACAGCGAATTTTGTCATAGAGTAGGGTAAGACGCCTCAAAACAATTTTGGGCCTGTGGCCTTGTGCTGTCAAAATCTTGGGTTATATAGTTTGTTTAATAGATAAATAATGAGAATAAATTGCAGAAAGTAGCATTCTTTGTTTCTAATACAAAGTAATCATCAAATAACTTTTCCGATGTACGAGCTGCTAGAGGCCACAACGACTTATGACTGCGAATGAAATCTCAAATGTAAGTTTCCTAATGTATGCGCTCGAGAATGGGAAAAAAAATTTTACGACCACTTTACGGGCACACTGTATACAAGTGGGTATTGATATTCGAATTTTTTGGAATTTCATTGTTGTAACAGTAATTATCCGATATCTGATTTTGTTCTTCTCACCTTTCAATGCGTGGCTTGACAGACTTCGGTCTGGAGTTTCAATCACATTTATTGGTTGTTGCAGCCTTTAAAAGCTCGTAACTCTGTAAAGTTATATAACCACTCGTATATTATTAATCTCAAAGAATGTTAAATTTGCTATTTAGAAGCATGGTAGGTTAAAACTAAGCTTCAAAATAAAAAAAAACTTTCATTAAATGCTAATAACAAATTCAGATTTTTTCGACAGGGACATACTGACTTCATTTCCAAAGCAACAAACAAACAGGATGAAAAATAATCTCTTACAATATAAAATGTATTGTAATACCATTTTATCATGTGTGCAGAACAAGTATATAAATGTGGCAGCATCAGTAATGTAACCTCTTTGGGTTGAAAAACGGGTTTATCACTTTTTGACTGATTAAGTTTTGTTTCTTTTATATCGGCAGAGTTCAGTGAGCCAGAAAAATTGGAATTAATTTCTGAATTTTTATCCTGACGATTATCACACTTTTAACTTAGAATAGTTTTAATTTAAAGAAAAAATAAATGTGCACACAAGTATGTGACAATAATTTTGTACAAGCTGAATGAAAAGATATTTGCGCTGATTGGCATTGAGACCGGTAGAAACCAGCGGGAGTGTTCTCCCCTAAACTTTCTCGTAACTTCCCCAAAAAAGGTGCCGTTTCTCCTTCCCCCACGTGACTAAAACAATTCGAACCTACTGTTACCCAGAATTCAATGACTATCTGAAGGTTTTTCACTATTGATTGAAAAATATCTAGGTAAAGAATCAAATTCAAAGAGATGCGTACCGATTTTCTGCTCTTGCCGGTTCAAGGACAAACTGACTTGCTTCTAGTACGCATGCGCGTGGAGATAAAGATTATTTTCGAAAGTAAATTATACAGACCGATATACAGTCACCCTTTGACGTATTTGTCCCAAAATTTTATACAGACCTACATTCATGACGATAAACCCGTGTACCAAATTTTATCCATCTAGCTATTCAAGTTTTTGAGTTATAGTGTTCACATGACCGCGGACGTACAAACAGACAGACTTCCCGTTGACGGATTTTGTCCAAAATTTGATAGAAACCTACAGATTATGTGTCAAGTTCACATACCAAATTTCATCCGTGTATCTCTAATAGTTTTCGAGTTATCGTGTTCACAGATACACAGACATCAGACACACATACACACAGACAGACATAATTCCAAAATTGTGTTTTTCGGACTCAGGGAGGTCTAAAACGTGGAGATTCGTCAAAATCTCGAGTTCGAATTTTTTGACGATCACAATACTTTCTCTTTGTATACGAGAACGTAAAAAAGGTAAATGCGAGTATATATAACCGTAGTTAAAATAATTTCTAAAAATAATATTAAGTGAAAAATGAATCAGAATCAGCAAAATGATGTGATGAAAAGTTTTAAAATAAAAAATTTAAAACAAATAAAAAACTAGAAATTCAACAAACATCAAAACTAGAATTTCACCACGAAATGAAGTCTCAAACACAAACAAAGTTAAACAATTAGTCACACTTACAATTGGTTGGGTCAACTGTTGAACATTTTCAAATGAAATTGCGCAAATAAATGTTCATAAATAAATGCAAGAGAAATTTTCGGGGAAAAAAAGTTTGGACTTTTACTTAAATCTTCAATTTTCTCGTTTCTTAAAATTTAGTAATTTCTTCCTACTTTGGAGATAATTCATGTGACGTCACAATTACATGACAAGTGCAACTGCGCATTTCATCGTATTATTAA